AATGCTGCCCTCTGTTTACAGATACAATATATTTTTTTACATGAACTATGTCGTTGTAAGAATTATGAGAAAGTCTAAATTACCATCGACCACTTGTATAATTAAACCCATTGCACCTCAAGAAACTTGGAATCAGGAGATGGTTTCATTTCAGTAGCATCGACGGCCGACATCACCTTATTAATGGCGGATTCGTAGTATTGAAGTTTTCAGCCATCTCTTCCGTTGTCTTCGTGTCAGATGAAGCCAGATTGTGAGGCCATAGAAAAATGGAGGTGCGGTGTTGTAATCGAAGAGCGAGGAAGCATAAATTCGTATGGGAAAAGAAAGTTGAAATCATTCTTCGCTTGAGAACAACAAATAAGATTACACCACACAAGTATGATTATGAATCTCAAAATAATGTTGCTCGTTTGTAATCTCGACACATAGTTGCGTAGTAAGCATGAAATCCCTTGAAACTTCCTAATCACATGACTATTCAAGTTCTTGGTCAATAAGATTTTACATGTTTGAATTTTCGTATCAAATGCTTTAGCAAATTCTTCAAAAATCGGATCGTAGTCGGAACGTGCAGTGTGCACCGAGCGAGTCATATTTTATTCTCATGACAAATCATAATAATATTTTTCTCTCTTTGTTTTTCTCATTTAATGCCTGATTAAAACAGCATTTCAATCAATTATGCATATTGCATGCTTCATTTTGCTCGAACCGAACGCCACATCTTTGACAAAATGAAGCATGTGCCCTGTTTCATAAAACCTGTTATTAATAACAAATGCCAAATATCTATGACCAGTTTGCTCTCAGCCAATCAGATGCCACCATTTCAGTAGCTTATAACAGTTATTGTAACTTGTTATTGATAACAGGTTTTATGAAACAGGGCCATAAAGCAAACGTCGTAGGAGCAGCATCGTGTTCCAAATTACTATCAACATCTGAAGAGTTCAGAACCCCTGCAATAATATTTATTGACAAGAGCTTGCTCATGCGAAATAACGTCTAATAATCGATAAACGTATAGATATAATATTATACCCTCATCCACACGTCACCGCTGAATGCAGACGAGTCAATTCCCGGGCTAAAGGTTCGATAGAGGAAACCATAAATTATTGCCTGCCTGCTCATCACCGTCGTCGCTCATGTATGGTACGGCGGGAAATGAAAGGTAAAATGAGTTTCCTTAAAAAAAGCAAATTTGTTTAATAACGCAGATCTATTTTTGGATACACATGCACAATACTTATTATGTTTTACTTGCCTTTAAATGCTCGGTTGAGTTTGGATATGGTGATTAAATGCGCCGAGTAATTATAGAGGTCAGGGTCAGGGTCAGAAGGATCATTTCGTGAAAGGTGTCAAAATGATAAAACACAATATTCTATGATATAATAATTTAAAATAATATGATAGTATAGACTGTATAATAATATAAATAAATGTAATAATATTAAAGTGACGTGCATGGCAAACGAATGAATTTTGATTCCTATCATTTTTGTAAATGCTTCTCCCTTCAACTGACGCGTCAGTTTTAAAGTGTAATCTCTCCAGATGAGTTATAGACGTTATCTTTCTTTTGAGTAGGGAGCATAAGTTCAATTCTCTCTCCTCCGTCTTACGTTTTCTCCTTCCCTCTTTCCACAATTTCATATCTTCTCCGCCCATGTCTGGGCGATCGAAATTGTCTTTTTACGATTTCATTTTGGACGAACTTAAATACATGCAGTATAATATCATTGGTGTAGATGGGTAAACTTAAAATATACCATGTGCTAGATTGCAGTTTAACACCTCTTTACTCAATCGCCTTGTTTACAGTATTTATAGGAACTAAGCTGGCACTTGCAAGAGTTAAGTCGTGCCAAGATGATATTAGTCTGTTATCATCCCCCTTTATCCATGATTTGATAGGTTTATATTTTGTAAATGTACGTTCATACTTATATTTAAAAAAAATCTAGATTACAACCAATTGTGATTTTTAAACATAAACACTTTTATTGTAAATATGCTTTCATGGCCAAGAACCTACTTTTTAAATCTTCATGTTTTAGTTATTTATTCATTCAAAAACTTATTATCAGGATTACAAGATCAGTTGTAGGACTGTTTCGCATCTTCGTACTGTATAGGCCAAATACATTTTTAAGTACATTTTGAATCAGGCAGTTTCAGTCTCTCATAATGGAGACGACGTTTTTGAAGACGCATAGTGGGCTTTCACTTTGTGACTTTCTCTGTTTTATTGATGATGTTTTATTTGTTTTATAGAATTATTTGTTTGATAACATAATTTTAATAATAATGGGTCATTAGTAAGATTATGTGTTAGGCAAAATAAATGCCTGGTCACGTGTACTCTCTCAACCAGTCATTTATTTAGGATCCGCTTCATCATCTTATAACAACTTATATTAAAATGTGTTATAGCCGACTATTAAAAGCGTGTGATATCTTTGATGAAGACAAAACCGGTTAAGACGTTTTTAACGTTATTCTCTCTATTATTTATTCTTCAAGGTCGACTTAAATTCATTTCCAGCAATGATCTTAAGTTCTCATGACAGCCACCAACAAGATTTCTAGTCTGCCCTACTCATACCCCCGGCTCATACCCAAGCAATCCATTTCCTTCCTTGTTCAAACATGACTGTGATTGTTCTCTCATAGCTATTTTTAGTACTCTATTCCTCATGTTTAATGCTAAAAATAGCTACTAAAGAACATTTTGAAAACATGAACAATGAAGCAGCGAAAACATGATTCCATTACATCCCGGATCAATATTTTGAAGAGGTGCTGTTATTTAAAATCGTGGCGGACTCAACTGCCTCGGCCAGCGGGGGTGTAAATAATTAATTATTATAGAATAATAATTTCCCTGTAATTTTACACTCTAGGAACTTGAGTATCCATCCCTTACTAAATGTTTTCCCCTCCCTCATCTCTCTCTCTCTATATGAGAGAGAAAGAGGGGGACAGCCCATTACTTTTCCCCCTCTATAATATAGGAGAGGGGGTTTCCCCTATCAGCCTATGAGAATCATATAAAACACTGCAATTTAAATGTTACAAAGACATATTCCATACATTTCCTTCCATCACGGGAAAGAATATTGATATGGGATCGATACGGGGTTCTCCCTTCTTAAATGAATATGAGTTCGATTTCATATTGTTTTCTTCTTTTATACTACACATGAATACGTTAGGAGTGTTTAGAGAGTTCCTTGCCTTTAATCAACAAGGGAAACGCTCTCGGCGGTCTCGCCTGCATAACGCAATTCAATATGATAAACCAGAACGTCAATGACGTAGCGCTCATCCGCATCTCGCAACAACAAATATCGTAAATTTTATGTGGTACACTTTTGAACTGGTCAAAAAATAAAAATTTGATGCCCTGGAAGGGACATAATTTCGTTTCATTTGCAAAAAGTACCATAAATAATCAATGAAGCAAAATCTCACAATTCTGTGTAGAATTTTATTGTTCCAAATTTAGCTCTACCAGATAATGCAAACCAAATCAAAATCAGTCAAGAAATGAGGGAAAAGAAGCAATTTTTGTTATTTTTGGAAGAAATTTGCATAAATTACCATGATTAATTAATGGAGAACAATTTCAAAATTCTGTGTAGAAGTTTAGTGTACCAAAGTTAGCTCTACGATATAAAGCAAACCAAATCAAAATCGGTCGACAAAATGAAGGAGAAGAAGCCTTTTTTGTGATTTCGAATAATTTGCATAAATTAGCATAGATAATGAATTTCACGATTTTGTGTAGAAATTTTAAATCCCCCTCCTAGCCCTATCATATGAAACAATCAGAATCAAAATCGGTTGAAAAATAACGAAGAAGAAGCATTTTGAAAATCTTGATGTTGATGCCACAACAAAGTCTATGTTTGTTGACCTTAAATGACCTTTGACCTTAACTTAGTGACCTGAAATTCTACTCACATGATTGGGGAGACTTGATAACCCTATAGTCCAAGTTTCATTGACCAAGAACTTATACTTTCAATATTATATCAAAAATTCAAAAACTTAACCTTGGGTTAAGTTTTCGATGATGATGCTACAACATAGTCCAAGTCTGTTGACCTTAAATGACCTTTGACCTTAACTTATTGACCTGAAATTCTACTCACATGATTGGGGAGACTTGATAACCCTATAGTCCAAGTTTCATTGACCAAGAACTTATACTTTCAAAATTATATCAAAAATTCAAAAACTTAACCTTGGGTTAAGTTTTCGATGATGATGCTACAACATAGTCCAAGTCTGTTGACCTGAAATGACCTTTGACCTTGACTTTGTGATCTGACATTCTACTCACATGATTGGGGATACTTGATTACCCTATAGTCAAAGTTTCAATGACTAAGAACTTATACTTTAAAAATTATATCAAAAATTCAAAAACTTAACCTTAGGTGTTTGATGTTGACACCGCCGCCGCCGCCGTCGCCGTCACCGGAAAAGCGGCGCCTATGTCTCGCTTTTTGCTAGGCAGGCGAGACAAAAATGATTAAGTATAGTAGAGAATGATAAAAGATCATTAATACGCTTGTGTACTTGCATGTGGGCAAAGAAAATGTATCCTGATTATCATAACGAAATATATCCTATCTTCTTTACTCATATTTCATTCTTCATCATCTATTTCCATCTTTTCATGGATTTCTACTTCCTCATCATGTTGATTCTTTGTTCTTTTATGTCGTGTTCATGTCTTGCTCTTTAACAGTTATTTTATCATTTCAAACAATTGCCCCCCCCCCCCCCTACCCCGCACGGTTCAATCCCATATTGCCACTGGTTCACACCACTCGGGTGCCTTGTCTCATCTCTTCTTCCTTCCCATTCCTCTTCTTCCCCCTCATATTATCTTCCTCACTCACCAGACATCATAATGATTATGATCATGGAAAATTATGAAACAAAATCAACAACAAGCATAATAACTTGAAACAAAAAAATTAAGATCATTGGACTCGTGTCAAATCTTTATTGACTGAAAGTGATTTTGTTTTCTTTTCTACATGTATAAATGGAATACACTTCCATACAATATGATACATTGTACTCTGGTGACTACAAAACTGAAAATAGCAACAAAATTGCTTCATAATTAAGAAAGAATCACTTTCTCAACAAGGTGAGCAGGAAAAATATACAGATTTACAAACATTCACAGTAGGAAGCTACAACGTACATGTGTATGCATTTTTTTTTCTTCAATTCAAAATATAAGCAACAACTAAGATATGTTATTAATACATTTCACACAAACATGTACATAAATTGACATACTCAACATTTATAAAATGCAATTAAAAATGCTGATTTCTATAGTTGTTATCAAGGGCACATTGATACCTAGTAATGATTCAAGAAATTCCAAACATAACTTTATAGGCATTCTTGATTTCTATTTGCACTTCTCACAATATATATATATATATTTCCTCCTGCAACATCATAACAGTGATTACTCCATTACACACTTTTATACATATTTAAAATTTAAAATCTTAACAATATTTTTTCTATAGACTCTAAGTGAATGCATAGATTATAAACTCTGATTAACATATTTTTCAAAGATGCATTTTTCCTACTGCAACATCATAACAGTGATTACTCCATTACACACTTTTATACATATTTAAAATTTAAAATCTTATAAAATATTTCTTCAAAGACTCAAGTGAATTCATAGATTATGAAATCTGATTAATATATTTTTTTAAAGATGTATTTCATGACTTAAATTTAAAATCTATATTAAAAGTTTAAAAAATTCTGATAGAATGATATTACATGAATTAAAATCATGAAGTATACTATTGCCATCATTACAGCTGCGTAATCATATTGACATAACAAAGTTGTATCAGTATTGAAAATAGTAAATATTGAACAAATTGTGTTTTATAATATATTTCAGCATATATTTTAACATTCAATCAACCTGGCTAGTCAAAGGGTGAGTTCAAACATGACATCATTATGAAAGCTCTTATGTATTCCAAATCATTTTGGAGAAAAAAAATTCAAAACAGCATATAGACTTCAGTTCATATTGTGATTACAATCACAACTTTTGAGGACAGAAAAAATAAGTTTTAAAAGATCAGAGATAGAAAGAAAAACAAAATTTTATATTTTTGACATGTGACTCGGCACATGTTTCCTCTTACAAAGTCTCCTTTAAAAAATGGTAGAAGATATTTCAGATATAATTTTATACAATAATTTCAACAATAAAATGCACTTTTTATAAACAAATTGTAATGCAATCCTCTCTAAGGACTCTATTTTGATGAAGTAACAAAATATGAGGCAAACATGATTTGCTTAACTTTTAGTCACATGTACAAAATAAAGTACATGGAACATTTGCTTTACATAGCATGGTTGTATAGGGCACAGCAAGCAGTGAATGATGAATTGAGTTGCAGCCTAATTCTAAAAATAACGTCTAACTTGCACTTGCATCCAAAATGAATAAGAATGCTGGGTTAGTATAAAATATTACATTAAACTCTCCACATGTATCTCCTATAACCTGTTGACTAACAAATTCTCTCATTTTCACAGGCTTACTACCAGGGGAGTGTCTCACGAAACATGTCAACAGTGACAAATGACAGTTTTTGTTATAAGCTAGTGAAATCCTTGCTTCTGATTGGTTATCAGCAGATTAGCCACTGATTTCTGTCCCTTGTCATTGAAAAAAGGCTTTGTGAAACACCCCCTAGAAATAATGGATTCCCATATGAATCGGGTCAGACAACTCTGCCACTCACAGTGGACAGGACCTTTACCCGGACTTGAAGAGGCAGACATATTACATCCTGGTACTCAAGAACTCCATGCACTTATCTCTTTCACAGCTAGCCTCCAACTTGGATGATACTCCTAGCAGAGACTAACTAAAAGAACTTGAAGAGGCAGAGATATCTCATCCTGTTCTGGCTTTCCTTATAGACGAGGTACTCACTCTGGTAGAAGTGAGAGGAGGAATACTTTGGTTGCTGGACCGGCTTGCCCTGAGGTACGACCACGTCCTTACCGTCCAACTTCAAAATGGTTTCTTTCTTGGGATCTGAATAAAACACAAAACATAGGACATGATATGAGATCTACAGTCAAACCTGCTTTAGTGACCACCTGTCTACAAAGACCACATTTTTGTTTCCCTTGAAAACAGTGTCTCATTGAAACAAGTACTATTAAGGAACATGTCTTAAAAGAGCACTTTTTTGTGTTTCTCTCGGGCGATCGCTATAGACAGGTTTTTACCGAATATACAAAAGAGTAGATATATGTATTTTTTCCATTAACATGTCTGTAAGTTCTGCATTTGTCACTTGGAACTTGCCTTATAAAGAGTTGATATTACTCCCAACTATACATAAGAAATGAGCGCCTGCAAACTTGCAATTGATTGGAGGACTTGCGATTGATTTGGATCGAACGCAACTCTTTTAAAGATGGGGCCTTGATCACAACTATCAATCACATATCTGTCAGACAACGAGGTAAATTGGGATTAGCGATGATTTTTCTGGAGAGATGTTGTGATAGCTCTTAACATAACATGATGTTTACGTGGGTTCTTCCGGATAAAACTACAAAGGTTAACCCCTTACATTAATTCTCCTATTCCAACTACAGAATTGGAGTTTCAAAAGGATATATTAACGCATTGCCTTAGAAACCATGTGGTTACCGTATAAAATAAAGTCATCAAGTGGTTGCTAAAGGCAATAGGTTAATATGAACAGGATTGAGTTCTGTAGTTTTTATGAAATTGACAAAAACAAGACACGCATTCAAGCAACAAACTGGTGGTTTTGAGCAAATTAGGGTTATTTATTATCAGTTGAGCATTTTTTATTTTAATGCTCGTGTTCAGTCAATGCTCATGTCCAACTGCTCATGTCATATACGTGTAAGTGACGAGCGTCTTCATTCTCATTTATTTTGTACAGGATGGAGCTATGTATTTGATACTTGGTGAAATTGATTGTTGCATCACTTGGTCTTCATTTGGTGTTCTGTTAGCCATTAAAAAGATGGATGTCTCTCACTTTTGGGGAAATTTTCCTACTACACACAGATTTGGTCTTGCGACTTGCCAAGGTGTAATTTGTATGAGAATGGAAGTCTAAAAGGGGGTGTAACCTGACAAAATAATACAGGGGAACGCCATCTACGTCTCCTTTTGGACAGTAGACTTGATTAGCGGTAGACTCTACATGGTCAGCGTTTGTGAAACAGACCAAAGTTCTCCACATGCTTCGTTTTCGCGTATGTTGCATGCACAGGATTGCTGCGGTCGCGTCCGTAGGAGAATTATACCTGATTGGCCCTTAGTCAGGCCACGGGAAAGACATGTAGTATTGTCAGTTTACACCCCCTTTAATAGGAATTCAAGGAATTACCAAACAGAAATATTATTTTTTCATGTTCTTCCTAACATCATACCTGGTTCTTGGTTTCCTTTAGCGATGACACAATCACATCCATTAGGTGCTTCTTTCAGAGAACAATCATTGGCTTTGATGATGTGCTCTTTACCCAGGGCCGCTTCATTCAGAAACATCACAGCTCTACCGTCATTTGCTGATCCAACTGTATCAATGCAAATAACATGAGAATAAATGAACAGTGAAAATTTTATATGGCTTGCACGGTGACATGGATATACAGTAGTATAGGCTTAAGGTTGCACCATGTGAGAGAGGGGGAGGATTGGGGAGTCCTGAAAAGGACTGTCAGTAATCTTTCTCTCTTGAGTGTGTGTATAGTCCTGAAAAGGACTGTTGGTAATCCTTCTTGATCTTAACGTTCTAAAGAGAATTATAGCGCCGGTTGGAGAGGATGGTTAGTAGGAGGGGCTCTACGTTTCAAACAGGTTGACTATCCGTCGTAAAAAAAATGTTTTATACAAGTTTTGTAGAACCTTTGCATCATTGGGTAAGTGTCATGTAATTGGTCATTCATTTCTCTGCAAATAAAGAAAAACAAACTCCTGAATGTCTATGACCCAGTTATTGCCCATTAGGTCAGGAACTAGGGCAATTAACTCAGGTCACGACGTTGATTAAAGATGGGGCTGAACAGCTCAGAGTTTTTGGAGGTAAAGAATTTGTGTATTGAGATCAAAAGTTTAACTTTGAAATCTAAATGTCCAACACAAATGGGCTTTCATGATATGATACAGACATGCATTTTGTTTAATTTAAAGAAATCAGGCCTAAAGCCAAAACACTATGTAGGCTAAATGATCTTTTATTTCCTAATCAACAGATTCTCATTTGATGACTACTTACCATATCCAGCTGACTTGCTTTGTTCCGATGCGAGATATATGCCCCGACCTACTCTTCCTCCAGAATGTGGCATGATGCGTAGTCCAGTCTTCAAAATGGCGGCTACTACAGCTACATTGGTACCGTGCCATAGCAGACGACGGTTTGTGATATCCTTGTGTTCAGCAAATCTGGCGCCCTGTTAAATATGGAACACAGATTCCGATGAATTAGACAAACTAAAACATGTTCAGTTTTTTTTTATCAACTTAAAAATCCTGTCCTATTTTCTCAATACTTCTTTATAAAAGCCAGGATCCACACACGGCCAGAAGTTATATTTGTTCAAAATATATGTATAAAGAATCAAATATCCATGTTTTAAACTTATTTTTACGGTCAATTTTTCACATAAAGCCTAGCCAGTTGCAAGCAGGGCAATTTAAAAAAATAAATATGGTGCGGTCAACACACTGCAAGGTCCAGGGATATGCTGTCAGCCACAAAGTAGCCACACACTTGACAAATTTGGACCATCCTAAAATTGCATGTATCCATAATCCTCTAAGTTAAGCTATTTAATCTCCAGTAAAGCCATATAAGGGCAAGAAAAGAAAAAAAAACTTTCATGTAAGTACCACTGAAAAAGTTTAGGATCCATTTGCAACAAAACCCTATGAGTAAGAGTGAAAAGAAAAAAGAAAAGAAAGAAAGAAATTCACCTCATCTTCTCTGTCCATCTTCCAAACATGGAGTAGTTTCTTATCCATATTACCAGATCCTGTATTAGCAACGTAGGTTTTGACAATCTGTGGAAGGAAGTAAAAAAATGGTGTATCGTTAACCTCGGTGAGCCCAACCTAGGCTGAATTTAAGCGAAAGAGAAAAGATCATTGTATTGTAAGAACATCAAAACATCTATTCTCATATCTTTTACTACATAAATAAAGCAGGGGTGATAGTGAGCACTAAAATATATATATTTTTTTTTTTCCTCCTCAATTAACCACCTCCCTCTTGAGTAATGAAGAAAAAAAAAAGGCATCCAACAACATGCCCCTCCTTATGAGTAAGAAAATTGGAAAAAACAGAAAAAATAAGGGAAAAATCGGGGGGGGGGGGATAATTGGGAAACCAATTTAAATCGGGTAATTATCAGGCCTGGTAAAGAAAAAAAATATTTAACTCAGAATAATTAATTTTATTTGCTCATCACTTATCATATTGAATAGTCTGGTTAGCTATCTGCTTACCTTGAACTCCTTGGATGATGGGTCCAGAAGATCCAGTTCACACTTGAGAAGCTCATACTTGACATCCAGAGGATGAGGGACTGCATCACCAGCCTGAAGAACGAGAACGAGGGAAAAACGTCCTTACTCATTAACCCTCACTATGAACATGACGGACACAATATACAGTTCCTCATTCTACCCTCAACAATTGCTGTGGTAGACAAAGGAACATCCCTCCCTTCACTGCTATTATGTAAAAATGTGTAGAACAAGTGTCACATGCATATTCACCTGTTCTACACATTTTTAGATAATAGCAGTGAAGGGATGTTCCTTTGTCTACCAAAGAAATTGTTGAGGGTAGATTGAGGAACTGTATATTTTGCCCTCTTTCTTTGTCCGTCATGTTCATAGTGCCTAGTTTCTGTATCCAAAGGGATCACAATAAACAGGCATGCTTAGCAAACGAACGTTTCCTTCGTTTCACAGAGCACTACATATTATATTACAAACAAAATAATTTAATTGTACACAAGGTCCCTTTTGGTTGCGTTTTGAAGGAAAACCTTAAAATATCTTTAGGGAACAGTTTTTAAAATCCATCTTTTTTTGATGGAGCAAGGCTGTTATTGCTATTTTGCTAATGTTCAGCAATAATCTAACATTTTGTAAGGTTATAAAAATATTATAATAACTTCTATTTATATAGTGCTTTGCATAAGAGATTTATATCAAAGCACTTACAATATTATTGATGCAAGTAAAACTAAACAGAGAAATGACATGAGAACAAAAGTGAAATTATCAAAACGTAAAATAACAAGGTAAGGTAACAATTTAAGGACTAGATTGAATATGACAAGGTAGTGGGCAGATACCTAATGGCACAACAGAAACCAGGTTTAGGGCAAAAGGGATTATCTAATGGTAATCTAGTATTTGGCTGACTCTTGTGGTATTGTAAGCCTTTCACCTATCTGGAATCTACCTGTACATGTAGCAAGTCATGGCAGCAAGCACTGAATATCACAATATGAGTTTGTGTGCATGTCTATCAAGTCAAAAAGTCTCTGATGGGGAAAGAGAACATTGATTTGCAAGACACAATGCTGTAGTTTTTTTTAATGCCACTAGATTTTGCTTAGCTATCTAATCATTCATGCTCAATACATAATTTTGACAAATATCTCAATAAAATCATTATCATGACAGGAACAAAAAACTTACCGCTGCATCTTTCTTCTTCTTTTCCTTCTGCATACCTAGAGCAATCTCAATGTCTCCCAGAACCTGAAAATATTGGGAAAAAACATAATTAGAAGAAGAAAAAAACATCAGTAATGGAAAATCAGAGGAATTGGTTATCTATAAGAATGTTACTTGGCTCATACCCATTGGACTGATATTTGACCTATGCCCCCCCCCCCCCCATCACACGAGTGACTCTCAATGGCAAAACCCATGCTATACCATTACATAACATATAAGCGACCAATTGTTTCACCCAAAGCTTTCAGTACCTGTAAATGTACATGCATGTATTGTGAAGCTTGTATACAATGTATAATGATGTACTAGACAGGGCAAGAATGAGACTGAGATTCAAGTTACCAGTAGCATGTCTTTCTTGGCTTGAATCTTCTCAGCATCATCAATAACAGGAGGAATCTTTCTCCCAAAGGAATGAGGGATGATGGTGTAAAACTTGGAGGAGAGATCGCTCAGCTTGGGCTTCTTTGCTTTCTTCTGTATCGCATCCTCAAGTTCCTCCAATGCTTCAAAGCCCTTGGCCAGCTGAGCCTTGCTGAGTTTACCCAGAGGCATCTTCTTCACATCTGCAGATGAGACATATAATCAGATGAGAAATGCTTAATTAAATAATAATAATAATAATAGGCATATCTATAGCGCCGTCTATCTAGAAATTCTATTCTGAGGCGCATTATTACCCCGGCTTTAGCCTCGCTGCCATTACAGCGCTCCAGCATTTCAAGGAATTAATTCCTGCCAGGTACCCATTTACATCACCTGGGTTGAGAGTGGCAAATGTAGATCAATGTCTTGCCAAAGGACATTATTGCCACGGCAGGACTCGAACCGCGGACCTTGTGATCGATAGTCTGGTGACATATCCACTCAACCACGACACCGCTATATGCAATAAGATTTTGATTTTTCCTCTTTTTCGCTTTACGAGAAGAAACATACCTATAACTTATTGTTATGTAAAACATGAAAAATGGACTACATTTTAAAGTTATTGACAAGTTAGCACCAATGAAGCAAAACCTGATTTGAATATTTCTCTTTACTAAAATCCAGCCTGGTCATGGCAAACCGTAATTTAAACAAGAATCTTGCTGCTAAATTTTTTATATCCTCTATCTTTCAAGAAAAGTATGGGTACATAAGGTTTTATATCCCTCTGCTGCCACAATGACGATAAAGACAACATTTTGACCAAACCAGCTTTCTAAGAGAGCAATCCAACCCTAGGCCTTGCAATAAGTTAATCTGTATGGAAGCACAAAAATACGAGAACTAGAAAGATAAGATAAGATATTACAATTTGTTTGCACTGAAATCATGGAAATCTCTCTGCTAAAGGGCACCTGACCATATATGCATATTTGGGCAAAGAATCAAAGAGCCCCTATGTGTAGACTGTCATAGACCTTGCATCTCTCAAATGGTAGCTAAATACAAATCACTTTAAACTAGAGAATATTAATAACAGCTACTGAAAACGAATTTAGCATATACCGTACCAATTTCAAACTTGGTCATCTGTTCCTTGAACATGTCTTCATTGAAGACCAGTTTGACAAATTCCTGTGTAGCCTTATCCAACTTAGAAGGTTGTACTGCCTTAGTTGAGTCATCCACCTCAGCAAGCTGATAATCAATGAGCAAAACACAAAACTAGAAATGTATGTTCTGTCCATTTTTTTCAAATAAAAATTAAATGAAAGTAAGTAGAAGTATGTGCATATCATTTAAAACATATACAAGTAAAGTGAAAACATAAGGAAAAGTATGGCCATAATTTAATAACATGAATCCGTTCCACTGGCTGTCTGCCTTAAAAACAAAGAAGATGAAAGACTTCATGCATGGCTGATCGTCGACGAAACAGAGTTTGTAGTTTGTTGCTAAGGCAGGCAGCCAGTAAAGCAAATTTGTTTAACAAAATTATGGAATTGCAAGCATTACTTTAAACAAACAGAACTTTGTTATTCCTGGCTCATTTTTCCTGATTGAGGTGTCATATGAAAGGGCAGAAAATGAACTTTCTGGAAATGTGATTTTTTTCTTTAAAAATCAGATACCGTTCGCCAACTGACTTTTTGGTACCCTTTCTTCAAATTGTTTTTAATCACTCATGCGTGAAACATGCATCAAATGAAAGAGGAGGATCTAAGCTTTACAAATATGTGTCATTTATTAACTATAATCGTGATTAATTTATGATAAAACATCAATAATTCTTGGTTGTGTTTTGTCTGGACATACATATAAGACGTTTGCTTAAGATACAGAATTACGGTAGGCGACTGTATACCTTTTGAAAACAATATTGCATAGCTTTTGACCCCCACCTCCCAATCAGAAATACCTTGTCACTGGTCTCTTGAAGCTCCTCCTCATCAGCATCCTCCACCTCTATCAGGGTATATTTGCCCGCCTTGGGCTCAAAGTTGGCTCTGTTTTCCCACTTGTTCTTGGTCTTGTCGTTGAACTTCTTGCAAAAGTACTTTATAGCACTTTCCTCGTCAGCTTTTGTGAATTCCTGGGTGGCGTTCATACCTGTTTCTCCCTGGAATGGAAGATGGCAGTGTAAGATTTTTTTCACAAGAGTTCTCTTTAGACATTCAATTTCAATTTCAATTCATTCATGTTTCCAACAAAACATAACAAATCAATTATAAGCATTTACAACAAATCTAGAAATACATGTTGGAAACAGAGGGGTCCACTAAAGGAGGAGTGGGTTTTCATTTCTCATACTCAAATTCTGACAATCATAACTTTTATCTTGGTATAAATTAGCGAGAAATCGTGGTTAACATATATGTATTTGGCATCTGTGATACTGCTGACCAAGGGTGGTAGGGGTGATTGATAGGGCATATGGTTCATGCAAAGGATTGTTGTAAGGACTATGGTGCAATAGCTTATCCATCTTACACTGCATGATTGCCATAATTCTTATGGTTTTATTATTTCTTACACTCTTTTGGAACTTCCTAGTTTTACTAGTTTGTGATGAAAACAAAATGTACATGTTAAATGTTTTGAATCTCTGACTTAAAGGGATTGGGTAACTTTGTCTCAGATTCTGAAACAAAATCCTGGATTTAGCTCATGCTGCAATGATAATTATAAACCTTTAGGTCTTTTACACGACTTTTACAAGCCGATCACCTGTCTGATTATCAAGATATTTATGATTGGAAATCAAAATGTAAAAAAATGTTTTCCTAACGGTTTTTATAACACTACAGTCTTTTGGGGAAAATGAGTATGGTAAAACCGGTCACTCAAAGATTTATTACTTTTTTGAGGCACTTCGTTATCATTTTGAAATGCAATTTTTTTAGGGCTTCAATATTACACCATATCATAGACACTGAATAACACGTAGGGCCACACATCTCAGATTTAACATTGATAAATGATTACTTACCACTCTTCCCCATCGTGTAAACACAGCATACTCCGAGTAAGATTCCAAGAGTTGTATCAGGTAGAACTTGTTGTTGTTGTGGCCTATATTTGTTTGGTTCAGCATACAGTCATAGTCGTCCACCTGTTCATGTAAAAAAAAAAACTACTGTTAAGAAGGAACCTTCATGTAGAAAATACAAGCACATGGACCCAAAATCATATCATATTGCATAATGAAAACTTAAACCTAATTTAGTCTTGATGCCTATGTTTAATCTCTTAATTACTGAATCCATGTACAGGCATAGCTTTACAATTGTTCCATTAATTTTTTTATTTTTTTTAACATTACAAAAACATTGACACTGTTTTAGCAAGAACTCCTTGGTTTTAGTAAAAAATCACAGGAAATCCATATTCATGGACTTCTTGATCAAAAGTGAGATAATTCAGGCATCTCACTGTTCAAATATGGATATGGGTGGGCTTTGGGCACCCCACTGTTCAAATATGATGATATTTGTGCACCTCGCTGGGGGGGGGGGGGGGAGGGGCTGCATCCCCCTAGCCCCTCCCCTACTTCAAGGCTTATGAATCCATCATTCTGCTGGGCTTCATACAGGAGCCATCTAGTCCTCGTATGCAATGGGATAAACTGGAAGTCATCCGAGCTTGAACAGAAACTCTGGTTGAATGTCTTAAAGGTATAAACCAGTTTTGGAAACGCCCCCCTCCCCCCTCTCACACAAAAAGGAAATGGAAGCTCTTATTTCCAATCATGGTAAAGAATATGTTTCAACTAATATGTGGTGATACATGCCTATTAATTGATAAATTTGGTAAATTATCATATCGATCCGGTCTGGATAGTTATCGCGTAGTATACATCTTTCTGTGTATAGTGCTTGTAACTTTACCAAAACTGGGCAAAATTTCTTATCATTTTGATGATTCCAGAACATTGCAGTACACACCAATACTTATATGCTAGATGATCAACCTTTTCTGATCGATTCCAACGTTTCTTTCACAATGCAATAGCATGACCAGAACTGGTCTATACCTTAAGAACAGTGTACAGACCATTCTCTTATATATCCTGTCTACTTGATTGATCCACCGAATCACTTCCTTATCTATTAAAACAAATCATCACAACTAATGCTTATGTATCTGCATTGTCTTGTGAATGTCATCAAGGAAGAGAGCACTTGGGAAATTATCATCACTATTTTTTTTCTTCTCTACTTTATGCTTGAATTTTGTCCAGATAGTAGGAAGATGATCTTCACAGGCAGAAGCATGAATGAACACATATGTACCAGAAATTCTCTCTTTATTTTCCCCCTTTAAAATGTAGTACGTGTATGAACAACTTACCACTGTACCAGGCCAGCTGCACAGGCTATCCTTAGTATGAGTAACTTTCTTTCCTTTGTCTGCTGTCTTCAGTTTCTCAACAGCAGCCTTCAGACCTCCATCATCTGGTTCTTTCTTCACCGCTTTAGCCCCCTTCCCGCCAGCCTTAGTGCTCGCTGCTCGCTTCTTTGGAGGCATGGTCAATATGATACAGTTGTGTTACTTGAGAAGTCAGAAGAGTTATAAATTTGCCTTTACTTTAGAGGGATCCACAGTCCACTGCAAGAAAATTACAAAGACAATGCTATTAAAAGTGCTTCATGATCATTCATTTGAAAACAAATTGGACTAACATGTCAAACGAAAGTGTTCGAGTTATTCTTCTTCTTCTACTTTACGTGCCATGTCCTGAGATATTGGCGACCATGGAATGCCACAACTTTCTGTCCCATATTCTATAAAGTAATTCATTCTCCCTGAGATCGATTCCAGTTTCAGAAATCCCACTCCTTAAGCTACTCATCCACAGAATCCTCCTTCTACCCATACTCCTCCTCCCTTCTATTCTTCCAGACAATGCAAGATTTTCCAAACCATTCTTTCAAATAACATGACCCAAGAAGCTCAGCTGTCAACCTCTTAATCTTATATCATTCAGAAGCTTTTGTCTTGTTCCTGCCATGGCAAATACCTCATTATTAGAAACTCTTTCTGTCCATGAATTCTAAGCATCCTTCTCAGGAACCAAACTTCACAACTTTCCAGTTGCTTTCTTAGGTCCAAGCTTCACATCCATACATCAGAACTGGATACACATAGCAATTGAGTACGCGAAGTTTCGTCTTCATCTTCAGCTTCTTAATCTTTAAGATGTTTTCTAACTTGGAGAAAGTTGATTTTGCAAGTGCAATCCTTCTCTTGATTTCTTGCTTGCCTCTTGCATCGTCTGTAATTGTAGTCCCGAGGTAATTAACAGAGGTGGCTTGTTTAATTTGATTGTTGTTGATCTTAAGAGAGCATGGTATTCATCCCTTTTTTGAAATTACCATGCATTCTGTTTTCTTGTAATTTAGTGATAATCCTCTCGTCACTATAAATTTCTCTGACGACAACATCCAAAAGTCGCTGCAAGTCCTTCTCTGATTCTGCGATTTATACCGCATGTTTGTTTGTAATAATAATAATAATAATAATACATAACATTTATTAGGCGCTTAATACTGATGTTTCTAAGCGCACAGTGTTCTGATTAAGAGAAGACTATAACCCGTAGAATTAAATTAGAAGAAAAAGCAAAAATACAAAAGTAACATAGATAAGGTAAGAAAAACAGTGGCAATCAACTAAATAAAGACAAATATGGTGCGCACCTCCATTGACCGACGCACAACTGCAATTTACAATTTGAAAAGATAGGTTTTGAGTAGAGATTTGAATTGAGATACAGAGGGGGCGCAGTGAATAAAGGCGGGCAGTTTGTTCCAGAGAGCGGGGGCAATAACTGAAAAGGCGCGGTCACCATACCGGGTGTTAGTGCGGGGTCCAGGTGTTAACAGTAATGTGGAAGATGAACGAAGTGTTCGTGACGACGTACGGGAACGTAAGGATATGAGATCGGAAAGGTAAGAGGGGGCTAAGCCATTGATAGCTTTGTAGCACAGGAGAAGAATTTTGAAGGATATGCGGTGGTGAATTTTAAGCCAATGTAGTGAGTTCAATATTGGAGTTATGTGCTCTGATTTACGCGAGAGAGTCACAAGCCGAGCAGCGCTATTCTGTACCCTTTGAAGTGGGACTAGATGTGACTGAGGGAGGCCAGAAAGAGAAGAATTACAGTAATCGATATGGGTCGAGACAAAAGCATGGACTAATTTTGAAGTTGTGGGTCGGTCAAGTAGCCTCCTGATTCTACTGATCTTATATATACCAAAGGAAGCAGACTTACAAATATTACTAATGTGTTGTTTGAAAGTAAGATTGCTGTCAATATTTAAACCAAGGTCACGCACAGAAGCACAACAACTGAGAGAGCCATCACTCATAACAAGATCAGGAAAGGGGTCTGAGTTCCGAAATTTAGAAGTAATATGAATCATTTCAGATTTTGAATCATTAAGGCAGAGACAGTTTTGAAAAGACCAGGTTTTGATTTCATTGAGGCAACTGGTGAGTTTGTTCGCGGCTACTGTCCTGCTGTTTGGGTGAAGAGTTACATAAATCTGGGTGTCGTCTGCATACATAGTGTGTTGAATATTCTGATAAAGGTTAATAACATTTGAGAGAGGGCTGGTGTAAAGAACAAACAGGAGGGGGCCGACCACGGAACCCTGAGGAACGCCGCAGATGAGGGGAAATGATTCCGAGTTGGTGTCATTGATGATCACCTTCTGAGTTCGGTGCATGAGATAGGAGCGAATCCATTGAAGTACGGTGCCGGTGATGGAGAAGTCGTTCTCTAAGCGATGGAGTAACAGGTCGTGGTTGATAGTGTCAAATGCGGCAGTGTAATCAAGCAAGATGAGGACAGCTTCATTACCCTTATCTACAGCTAGAAGTAGGTCATTTAGGACCTTGACAGTTGCAGTCTCAGTAGAATGATGATTCCGATAGGCAGATTGGTGGATTGGAAACAAACCGAGATTGTCAATGTGGGCTTTCAGCTGTAGTGACACAATACGTTCCAAAACCTTCCCAAGGAATGGCAGTTTTGCGATGGGCCTGTAGTTCTTAAGTCCATTCGTGTCGAGACTCGGCTTCTTTAGGAGGGGAAGAAGCAGAGAAGTCTTAAAAGACTCTGGAACTATTCCGGATGATAACGAGAGATTGAACAGTTTGGTTATGTGAGGAAGGAGTTCATCGAGGACTTCCTTTAGAAGCCAGGTAGGAATCGGATCTAGCTTACAGTGTTTAGAAGGAAGTGAAGTGATGAGCTTCCTGACTTGTGAGAGGGATACAAGGCAGAAATCAGAGAGTTCATGACGAGGGCCTGGAGCAAAAGATCTTGAAGCTGGTGCTGGTACTACATTAGGGAAAGAGGATACAACTTTGGCGACTTTTTCCCTGAAGAATGTAGCAAATCTGTTGGCGAGTTCACTATCAGAAGAATGATCTGGAAGAGGTGAAGATTGAGTGGGCGTTGAGAGTGTCTTCACAAGACGAAACAGTTCTTTAGTGTCAGCATTCTTGATGAGATCTTTGAGATACGCAGACTTCGCATTGAAGATGCACTCATAATATGACTCGCATTCACGGCGATACAAGCTCTCTATCAACAAAAAGTTTCCTCCTATACCTCCTGTTCATGTTATTACATGTGTGGAATTTCTCGTTCACCTCAATTACGCGCAGAGTGCATGCTATCTGTCGCTCCGCCCCCTACCCAAAACACACACATGTGCAATTTTAGTAAATATTGAAGATGATCGGCATATACAATAGCCATATCTACAAGTTGTAGGCCTAGTGCAACACATACAATTGTATTACAATTCAAATGTCAAGTTTTCAACAGCAACAACAAAATAGTATTGGTGACCGTTTCGATTTTGAGTCTAGTTCTATAGATCTCATGTATTTGTACCTGTACTAGTCGTAGGAGTAGTGATATGAACCTGATTGAACAGGCAGATACTCACATGTAAAGTAGTTGAGGATTAGCAGCTAAAATTACTTCCAATTCCAGGGCTGCAACCGCAATAATATTACAATGATTTGAACAACAGCAGGCACTGTGTACAGCTCACGTACAGCAGTCAATGGTAGTCAGCTCGAAGCCCGAAGTGAACATTGGACCTGGCAGTTTGTCTCCGCTCAATAAATAGCGTAGCGACGTGTTCGATCGTAACTCGTGGAGCGAGCAAGCCAGGACTTGGCCGATGCGACAATGACGAAAAAGGGCAATGAGGAAACATGCACACACATGTAGACCGAAACTGTGACGTCATGGTAAACAAAATGTAAGTGATAGTCTGCTTTTCCAGACCAAGCTAGGTTACTATCACAACAAATATGTAAAGTTGGACACATGACTTCCAATATTGTTGAAAGTGGAAGAGATAACTCCAAACATGTTACAATAAGGAATCATAAAACTATATTTTAAAATAATTTGGAGCATGATTTTGATTCATTTTAACACTAATCTGTCTGAAATCTACTCTATTTGTGATGGGCGTGGCAGGAGGACAAACCTCTTTGCTCTCTCTCTTTCTCTCTCTCTCTCTCTCTCTCTCTCTCTCTCTCTCTCTCTCTCTCTCTCTCTCTCTCTCTCTCTCTCTGTCTGCCTGTCTATCTGTCCCTCTCTTCCTACCTTGCTCACTCTATCAGGTATGCTTATTTGAATTAGTATTATCATTATCATAATCATCGTTATTATTATTATTATTATGATTATTATTATTATTATTATTATTATTATTATTATTATTATTATTATTATTATTATTATTATTATTATTATTATTATTATTATTATTATTATTATTATTATTATTATTATTTTAGGCCTATATAGTTATCAATATCATTTATTGTTAAATTATTATTATTATGAATTTGGCGTCACCTGCATGTGCCTGGGAGGGGAAAATAGATTAAATCTTGTGACTGTTGTTATTGTCGTTATTGATATTACTATTTAAATTATTATCATTATCATTATCATTATCATTATCATAATGATTGTTATCATTATCATAATGATTGTTATCATTATCATTATTATTAATGACATTATTATAGTTCTCAATATCAATTAATGTTTAATTTTCTTATTAGGTATTTGGCGTCACCTGTGCGTGGGAGGGAAAAAAGTGGATAGAATCATTGTGACCATCCATCCTATCCTCTCGGTATAACTTACTTGGGGTGTGGACAACCATGCACATCGGGTTTTCCTCTACTCTCTCTCCTCTAAAAGGGGCCCTCATTTAACGACCTATCCGAGGGACATAGTCAGCGTTTTCTACTGTAACAACCTATAGCCTGTGATTATATAATTTCTTTCTATAACCGAATATTTACTCACTGACAACATGTGAAGCTGTATGTAGGCCTAAGTAAGGTTTTGTATAATTATGTCTTATTAGAAGGGTTTAACTTTTTCGATTTAATTTCGAACTAACAATTTATTTCTTTTTCGTAAACACTTGTGCCTTGATTTGTTTGTCTGATAATTTCATTAGATTGTTCCATAAATAATGTGCTTTTTCGATGCAATCAAATGCCCAAATGGTCGGAAAGAGAACCATCAAAAGTACTGTATTGTCACTGATAAGGCTAACTGGTAAATAAAAACATAATAGTAATTATTATAGCAAGATGAACATGAATCAGACTATAAAAAGCGACAGCGCCAGCATGAGGCAAAGACGTTGTAGTGTTTGATAAATCAATCGCAAATGTCTTGATAGTGCATTATGATGATGTGTGTCATTGTCATACCCTGATGTTCTCTTGACCAGACCGAGCAAGAAAATTTTACATTTTTCAGTTTTCAGTTTTGTATTTCAGGTGCACTTTCGATCACACATGCCAATCAAAGTCTATTTACTCCTTCTCCGTCTATTATTGGGATAAGCAGCGTTAAAGCATCCTTACGAACTTTGTCCAAATTACGGGGGAAAAAATCTCTTAAATAATATATAATTTCTAAGGTTTATACATCTTCTTAGTTTTACAAAATCTTCTTTTTTAATTACTTCAAGTGTAAAAAGTGTGCTTCTTCACTACATAAAACTTTTCCTTCTTAATTTTGGGGGAAGGGAATTGGTACAATATTGACCTGGCCTGGAAAAGAATGGAGGGAATGTGTCCCAATGTTGTCTTCCCTCATTTTATAAAGAAGTTTCATCGAATAAGCCTCTAGTAAAGGGGCTGGTACGGGTATGAGAAGAGTTCCCATCCTCTTGGAGGAAAAGCATGATCAAACGAATATTACTAGATTTGTCAATAGACAACTTCCTATAAAAATGAAAATGTAAATTCCTAGAGAATGGACTTTAATGATAATAAAAATGATAATGGTAAGAATAATGATGATGATGATGATGATAATAATAATAATAATAATAATAATAATAATAATAATAATAATAATAATAATAATAATAATAATAATCATAATAATAATAATAGTAATAATAATAACAATAATAATGATGATAATAATAATAATATTGCTACTAATGCAAATGATAAAATAATGATAATTATGATAATGATAATAATAATAATTTTAAAAAAAATATAAAAAAAACATTCATGTAGAGCGCATTACACAGTTAAGTTAGGTTAAGTTAAGAGAAAACAGGTAACCGAGTTTTTTGTATCTGTTTCAGTTATGGAATATTATATTTTGTATTAAGGAAATCCCGTCAAGTGATTGGTCAACATAGCATCACGTGACCAAACATAACATTGCTATGATGTTACCGATAAGAACAATGTATTCTACATTGACGTCATCCATGGCATAGTTCACTATACAATGGATTTTATTTTGTTGCCATGTTTTTTTCTCTTCTCTCATAAAGAAAATTTTACATAATTTATAACATTTTATATAAAATTACAAATGATCTTCATAATAGGTGTAGGCCTAAATAAATTTGTAAGTGAACTTTGACATTTCTATACTAGGTTACAAATACATTTTAATATAAAATATATTTGTAAATGAAGTTACAAATTTATAGACGAAAAATATTCACATCAACAATTTTATGGTTTCACATTTTAAACAAATCGCACATAAATTTACAGAATTTCCTCGACCAGCTTGCATATAAATTTCAAATTATCACTCTTCTTTTTCGCAATAATTTTTTTAAATTTCCTTCAGAAAGAAAAAAGAGTTATGACAAAAAGAAAGAAAAAGATATATGATAAAAGATGTTTTTTTTCTAAAGAGAAAGAGAACACCTACTGCCCCGCCCCCGCAACACTAAAACACACGATAACAAGTACAGCAGAATTAAAAAACAAAAAATGAACACACACACAAGACGAACAATCAAAAGAAATGAAAATAAAAACAAAGGAGAAAGGAAAAGCAAGGGTAGAGAAGAGATGACGTCATTATATGCGATCGATCAAGATGAACGTGCTATCAGTATTGATTCCTCGATGACAGAAATTATTATCATCATTATTATTATTATTATTATTATTTTCATGAAGGTTGGTTTGAAAAATATATAACAAATATAATCATGCAATATTTCAAGCCACTGGTGAAATTATGGATTCCTCGGTGACAGAAATGGCACTATTTTCTTCGGGGCTACGCCCCTGAAAAAACTAGTGCTATTCCTGCCACCTCAATCCATAATTTCAACTAGCGTCTCTAAGTTCATGGTATATTTGTTTTCGAATCCATCGTATTAATGTTTCTAAGAAAATAGGGGAGGCTATTCATTAAAAGCTGGGGCAGCATGGCAAATGAACGTTCACCATAAGGATCGCCGTTTTTGACAGAATATGACTGTATACAGTCTTACAATTTAGTCTTTATACAGTTTATGAATACATACGTATGCAGTCTTTAAATTTAGTATGAAGCTAGACCCAAAAAGACAAAACATTAGGCCCTACAAAAAGTTCGACTTAATGAAATTACGGTACATCAAACAAGTGGAATTATTACGCAAAAAAGTGTTAAGTGGTAAACCAAAAATGTTGCCTTACCTTTCTTTCCTGTTTTATTTTCCCCCGTTCTTAATTTTTTTATTTCGTTTTTTCTTCCTTTATTATTTTTATTATTTTTTGCTCAGCCCCCCGTTGGGGGGAGGGGGGGGGGGAGTGAACAATCCTTTTTTCTTCAACATCACCCCCAATTCCCCCGTTGAGCAAAAAAAAAAATACATTTTTACTTTTTTGTTCTTTTTTGCCAGGGGGGGGGGGGCATAGAAACATGGGTAAAACACAGAAAAGGGTGTCTTTAAAATTCTAACACACCCCCTTTTGCTACGCCAATGGTGGTGGTCGTCTGAAGATTCATTTGAGAGCGAGCAAAAATCTTGAGATCTTTACAACATATTTGAGGTCGCATTGCAACCGACCAACTATTATTAGTGAAAATAACCAATCTTGTTCGGGTTTTAAGGCACCATCTCATCAAGCGACAGTGAGAAATATAGGTAAAACGGGGAATTTATTTGGAAAGAAAGGGGTCACTTAATGAAAGAAACAAGAGGGAACTTATCACATTTGAAAAAGCGCACTTATCAGATGTGACCAGAGGCATTCCTCACGTTTGAAAAGGGACATATTTTATTAGATTTGAAAAAAGGAATTTATCGGAAGGGGAAAGGATACTCATTAGAAAGGATAAGGGGCAGTTGACAGTAAAAGGGGGCACTTATCAAATGTGAATAAGGCCATTTATCAGGGGTTCAAAGGGGGCATTTCTTGGAAGTATAGGAAGAGTCGTTTTCAGGAGTACAAACTAATACTTTTGGGGAACTTTTTCAATATAGAGGGCATTGTGACCCTTTGTGCCCCCCCCCCCTCACCCAGGAGCGCCGCCTCTGGTCACATAACTCTAAAGCACTTACCTGTCGCGTATAAACTATACAAAATAGTTGTAGACCTATATCATGAATATAATTTATGTTGTTCAAGTCCATTACATCCATCTTTATACTTCTCAAAATCCATTAGTCTTCGGCGCATGATATTTACTTTCTTTATAATTATGGCAGGGCGAAATGCATGCAATTTTTATAAAGGCTTCCATTAACCACTTAATTGTAGCTAACCTTCAACAGTTGACCACCTTTTACCAAAGTGAATATCTTAAACAGTACATTATTTTGAAATGGTTAAAAAGAGTCACTTGGCTATCGTGAAAGTACATTTCCTGTCCACTCAAAAGTGGAAGTTGGAAATTTAATGAAAGATATATAATAATTTCAAGGATGAACACGATTGAACGATTACTTTGACAAAGTTTGAAGCCTGAAGTTTGTTTTTAAATCAAGTTTCATCATCGTCTTGACAATTAGACATTTTAAAGAAGTAGTTATGTTGGAGATAAGTGCAATTTCTTTTAATTTTGTCGCAAACACTGTCGTTGCACAAATCAGTAGAGTGACTATAATAGCATATAGAATATCTACATTAAGGAGAAAAAAATTAAGAGTGATGAAATACACGTATAGCACTAAATGCCACCGAACCCTATAAAACGGGGATGCTTGGATGTGATAACAGTAGAGAGACCAACCGCTTCAGTTGCCGATATTTACGAAAGCACGATCAGGTAAGCTCAAAGTTGCATTTTTTTTTGTTGGATTGTCACTCATTTTTTTAATGCAGGAAATCTTGAAGTGTTTTTTAAATTTTCATCCACATTGAATTTTTAAAGAATATTTTGCCTCTCCAGAGCCAGAAGTATATAAACTCTGTGTTAGATAATATGAGTTAACGCCCTTGTGGCTCCTAACAGACGATTATTTCGTTTAGTTTAATACCACCATCACTATGCCTGTTAAATTTGTTGTTTTGGTTTGCTTGGGGAAAAAAAGATGACTTTTTTTGTCTTCGTATTCTTTTAAAAATTTCATCCCTCATCAGGTAGACGTACATTGTATTTTGCCGTTTGAAGATGGATTCCAAGTTCTATTCCATGCTTGTCCTTCTGATGTCGGTCACTCATGGGTCTCTTGCAACAAACCAATCAACTATTGATCTCCAAAGAACTTCTGGTCCTCCAGAGTCAAATTCTTTCTCAACGGTTATGGCGTACGAATCAACCAGCCGCAAATCTGAGTCTAGCACCATCATACGATTGTCAGATGCTACTAGCAACGATGATGGTCCTACCGAATTTCCATTAAATATCACTGAAATCGAAGACCGTTCCGAAGAAACGCTACCAAAGGCTACATTTGGGTGGTCTTGGCGGGCAATGGAGTGGCCTTGGTGGATAGATTTGCAGTTGGTCTCTGCGATTCTAGGGATAGTGGGGAACCTACTGGTTATACTTGTGGTGTTCCGGAAGAATTCCTCAAGTCGCTCTACTGACATTTTGGTAGGAAATCTAGCAGTTGCAGATTTCCTATTATCCATTGCAATGATTCCCCTCCCAAGAGCTCAAACAATGCCATTAAGTGCAGCTGGACGCTTGTATTGTATATTCATTTATTCACAGACTATGAAATGGATGCTCATCACGGTGTCCTCGTATCAACTCGTCATCATATGTTTTGACCGCTTCTTTGCAGTTGTCTATCCTCTGACTTTCAATCGCATGGTCACTAAACGGCGGGTGTACATCTGTACATCTCTGGTGTGGTTGACGTTCATGACCGCGGGAAGCAGGGACATATTTATCTTTAAAGTTGATGACATCACTGGACGTTGCGTTCGTCAAAGGTTTTCCCCTGAAGGCGACATGGCCTTTGCCGCTTACTTCGTCTGTCTGCGCATAGGTGTACCCACTTTCTTGATCCTTTTGACTCAACTGTTGATCGCCAAGAAACTTCATCAAGAGGCCCAACATTTCTCCAAGATCTTAACCGAAGGATCCGTCACCGCCAAGCCATCAAACCACCTTACAGCCCGCACTCGCGTTCTCAAGATGATGCTCATTGTCATAATAGTGTTTATCATTTGCTGGGCTCCATCTCAGATTGCCTTCTTCTGTGCAAACATGGGTTTCATTGCAAGGAGCTACCTCGGGAGTCCACTACAACGTTCTCTCATAACAATGGCGTTCTTCAATTCATGCTTGAATCCTTTCATCTATACAGCCAGGAATCCACAGTTTCGTACCGCACTCAAAGGCATCTTCATCTGCTCTCGAGCAAGCCATGATCCTGTCTTTGAGCACAAATTAGTAGAGACGTCCTCTAGTGCACCTGTTACCGCACCTGTTAGTTTATCTTCTGTTTAGTGCAGATGGCAGTGCCAATCCCATTACCATCACTTTTGCAATATGATAACATTTTCCTTCTTTCAGTTTTACAATCATAAGCGTTTTAATAGTCATAATAATCACCTACGGAACCATTTTTTCAGGGGAGGGGTGGCATTGTTCATTTCCTCGCTTAGCCTCAAATATTTGGTGTGAGGGGAAGAAATGGATGCCAATTGAGAAAAGTTTTGAATTTCAGGGTGTTAATGATGTGCAAATGCACAAATCATTTGGCGCCATCCTACTTACAAGAAAGTTTAATTAAAGTGAGTGACATTCATCAGCATAATACGAGACAGGCAGTTGAAGGTTTACTTTCTGTGCCAAAGTATAAAAAATGCTTTAAACATATAGCCCCCCCTCGCTTCTTCGATTATAGCATTGAATTAGTTGGACAGATCCCGGACAGATCATTGAGAATGGCAAGCTCTGTGAACACCGTTAAATACATGTTCAAACAATCTTGCATTATCGATTCCCAATAAGATAAAATGACAAGAGGAATTTTGTTTAGTGTCTGTTTTCTTAGCACTGAATGTAGGACGATATAATGCTTTTCAAACTTAAAGAATGATTTCATATAATTTATTATCAGTTATAAATACATTTGTATTTTTAATGTTATTTAAGAGTGTACATTCAATTGCTATACTAGATTACATGCATTATTGTTCACATTATCCAGTAATTTACTATCCTGTAATATTCGTTGTTGTTGTAAATATGTATATAACAATTGAACTCTCAAAGTATATGTTGCCTTTTTTCAAGGTCTAATACTTACCCAAATATGCTAATAGTTACTTTTCATCGGATTTAAAAACTAATTGCCGTCTATGCTATAATGTTAAATTAAAATATTATATACCGAAGCTACGGTGACATTAAAAAAGAAATCTATTTTTAGAATTTTTTCTTCGTTTTCCAAAAGAGCATCAAAAATAATGTCCGAGTGTCGAAAACCAATTGAATATGTTGAGTATTGGCTGTATGACCATCTGAATAAATATATGTCCTATAGGAACTCAGTGTTATACAGCGCGACCCAAAAAAACGAAAGCGAGAATTATCGATCTTTTTATCATAACTTAATCACAATTATAATTAATAAATGACACATATTTGTAAAGCTTAGATCCTCCTCTTTCATTTGATGCAACTCATATAATGAATATTTCACGCATGAGTGATTAAAAGCAATTTGAATGAAGAAAACCAAAAAGTCATTTGGCGGGCGGTATTTGAATTTCGAAGAAAAATTCACATTTCTAGAATATTCAGTTTCTGCCCTTTCATATGTCACCTCAATCAGGAAAAAATGAGCTAGGAATAACAATAACAATAACAAATAAGCAGAATTGACAAAAGACTTAACTCCGTTTCATTGACAATCATCCATGCATGAAGTCTTTCGTCTATGTCTGATCGTCAACGAAACGGAGTTAAGTCTTTTGTCAATTCCGTTTGTTGCTACGGCAGGCAGCCAGTGAAAACGAATTCGTTTAATCAAATTATGTCGTCAACAGGTGACGGAAGTGTTTCAATTGTTTTCATACTTTGGTGAGTCAACTCTGTGTGGTCACAAGCTATCACACAGGGTGTGTGTTTGCGTGTGTGCGTGTGCGTGTTTGCGTGTGTGTGTTTGTAATATATAAGTGAATAACATTTACAATTGACATATTATGTTTAGGTACTTATACGTTTACTTTGTTGCTAAGTTATATTATACTGCAAATAAGTTTGTGCATGTTTATGTAAAAGCATCAATATTGAATACGTTTATTTTATTCAATTGTATGTCATGGTTTGTATTACACATTTGGAGAAATAAAACAAAATTGTTAAAAAAAAAAAAAAAAGTGTGTGTATGTGTGTGTGTGTGTGTATTAAATTCGGATATTCCACAGTAAGACTACGCTGTTGGATCACGGTGTAATTTCCTATGCGGACATAGTGTGGAACAAGATAAGAAAAGATGTGTTAGCACAGTGTTTCACCTATTCAACACGAACGTGTTTAAAATATATTCTGTAATCACAAAATGGTGCGTCCACACCGTGATTCGTTGTGTGACAGGAGTATTCCATACAATGTCACACTCTGAGT